TCGCTCTCGCTTTCCACCGCCTGGTCCCTCTCTCTTTAAGGACTTTCTTCGCTCTCCTGGGGACCGTGGGCACGCCAGGCCAGGGCCCGGTGCTGAGGACCGGCGTAGCTCATCGCAAACACCCACCGCGCCTTTTCCTTCCCTGGGGGGCGCCTTTATCTTTGTCCGGGTCTTGACCCAGATCGCTGACTGCTGCCGGGACTCCCCACAGGGATCCCGTGGCCCTAGCAGCACAAGGGAGCTCCTGAGAGGAGCTCCCAGATGGCACCTGACACAGTTTGTGGTGTGTCATGGTGCCCTCAGCTGCTGCTGAGTCCGGACACAGCTTGTGGCATGCCACAGTTCCCTCAGAGCACAGCCGCTGAGGCCAGACACAGCTCATGGCATGCATTATTTGTTGCCGAGCCCAGACATTACCTTAAACTTCATCCACAGCCCAACATCATGTCTCACACCCTCCCTGCTCTGGAGGGAGCTCCCGTCCTGCAGCCTTGTGCATCTCCTTTCAGCCTGACTTGGTTACAGAAATATCAGGGGTCAATAAAAATCTCGGTCTGTGCCAGGGCAGGCAGCTCTCCATGACTTCTGCTGAGCACTGATACACTTTGTTGTAGGCGTCAGCGTTGGCGTGAGGAACGCAAACCCTGGGCAGGTGCGGGGGGGAATATGGGCCCATGGTGAGCATGAGCACAGTGGGAACGTGGAGGGACATCGATGAGGGTGGCAGGAGTTTCACCCGGCTTTTTGGTTGGTGAGAGAAAGGTATAAAGAGGCTAAGACTGTTCCAGACTGTCTTTTTCCCCTCTGGCATCCATTGCCTTTATTTCATGGATATGTTTCTTAAATAGCTCCGTAGGTGTCCGTTCCCCACTGCACAGGAATGGGTTTTAAATCCCAGCAAACAGCAACAAGTGGTTGCCTGGAGCTGCATGGCTGCCAGCATGGGACGGTGACGAGGAGGAGCGTCTCCAGCCCTCATGTTTGCTTTGGTGTTCTGGAGAGAGGTGGTCTACGGTAACGCTGGACCCCAAACTTTTTAGTGTTGTAAGCCACTGCCAGTAATCATGGTGCACCAGAGTGGAACGAGCCGTGTTGTTCACGTCTGCTGCTGCCTGCCGAGGTGCAGGTGATCTTTTCCTCTCTCAAAATCACTGAAGATCTCCATCATCAAGGGGCATAGCTCTTCACTGGGCTCACCAAGCCATGCTGGAAAGGGCCAGGAAACTCCCCCAGCAGCACTGCCTTGAGTCCAGCCTTGTGTCCTCTGCAGGTTAGCAAAAAAACCTGGTGCTGGAAAGAAAATCCTTGGTTGTTCAGCGTGGGAAGGCTGGAAAGAAAGGCTGCAGCGGGAAGGAGGGGTGGGAAGGAGACCGAGGTCTTCTGTGGTGCAAGAGGGTGCTTCTGACCCTTGGAAATGGCCAACGCAGTATTGCATGGGTGTAAATCACAGCAACGTTTAGCCCTTTCTTCAGAGGATCCACTTGTGCTGGATTTTTTAAGGCTGCATGTATAATCATTTCACATCAGCAACCTTTGTCCATGGTGGGACAGAATCAGCAAGGGCTGAAGTAGCATTTAACCCTGCTGGAGTCAAGTCCGTTTAGCATTTCAGCATGCATAGGTGCTGTTTGCAGAGGGATTCTTCTTTATCTGTGGCTGGGAGGTGTTTTCAAGTTTGCCAAGAAGATCAAAACATTCCTAGATTGCTGCTTCAAAGTTTCTCTGTTGCAGACGAGGTTGTGGTGTTCAGCTCAGCGTGTCTGAGCTCATTTCATTGCTGCTTTCTAGGTATGTGGAGGTGGGTAGCTGTGTCTCTCCTAATATCCGGGTGCATGTCTTATCCCAGGCGCTCAGCTCTCCCTGGCAGCAATTTCCATGCTGGTACAGATGCTTCTGCCATAGCGCTAAGTAATTGTGTGTTTTACAAATGGGTTGTTTTCTGGCAGTTGGTTGCTGGTGGTGGAAAGCCCACTTTGGGTAATTTCTCTAGACAATATACTGATTGTTTCACTAAAGCAACAGGAACGCCGTACCCTTGTTTGTCCCCGTCGACAGATAAACTAACCCTTCCTTCAGGTGCTTGTTTTGCTGAAATTTGCTCTCACACATTATTAATTATGAGCGTGATCAGCTCATGCCAATTACTTTATCCTCCGATATCTTTTTGCTTATACATCTTTTTGCCTTGAATATCTTCTTTACTTGTGTCCACCTGAATTGTAAGAGAGCTGTTTGCCAGCAGGATTTTTCTCCCTTATTTTAAAATTCTTTTTTGCTACTGATTGAAGCTGTCAGAGCGTGGCAGTTGGGTCTCTGCAGTCTGCTGATCAAGTGACTGATTAGAGTTTTAAGGCAAAGGTCCTGAAATTCGTTGTACCTATATTTGCAGGAGGGGAAATTTTCATCTGAAATTAAATTGCACCTCAAGCACCTGCAGCTTATTTCTGTGGATGCAAAGGAGAGTTTGGAAACTTCTCCCAAAGCCCATTTTTTTCTTAGGACATGTGTTGTACTGTGGCTTAATCTTGTGGTTCACAGAGCCAGTACTTTCAAGAAAAAAGTATCACTTCTGGAATTTGTTACTTCTTTCTGGAATAAGCTCGGGACTTCTTGCAGATCCTGGTTCTGTGATGTGCTGCTTGCTCCAACTCACACAGTTGAGGGTTTGAGGAGCTCTGTCCTTCACAGAGCAGAAATAATGCAAAGGCTAAGTACAAATTATAGGTTTGTAGGGTGTTTTCTTGCCTGCAGGTCCCACAGCAGCTGAAAGTGTGGATTGCTCTAAATAAGGGTGAGGTGCTGGTTCAGGCCTCTGCGTAGCAACAGATAAGCTCTGGGCTGACTTATCTTCTCGGGGAGATTTTACGTTTGTTTTTCTTTGTCTCCTCTCCCTCTTTCCTCGATTTGTTTCAGCCTCAGCCCATTTCTTCCCATAACTCATGTTCCCATCCCTGACACTGCCCTTCTTGCTTGCATTACTCATTTGGCTTCCTCTCCACTTTCCCTCCCCGCTGCCTCCCTCCTTCGCCCTCAGGATTGCCAGGCTTCTGCCACCACGTCTCCTTCTTCCCCCAGGTCATCTCGCCAGCTCCAGGCTTCTGCTCCACTCCCCCTTGACAGGCACCTCCTTAATGTCAGGAGCCGACTCTCAAATAATTATCTGGGCTGCTGATTAGCAGTTTGTGAGGGCAGAGCTGGCTTGGGCTTTTTGTTAAGGCTCTGAGCAAACACCATTGCACAGTTCCTGGTGCGGTCTAGAAGCTCTCTTGCTGCTTTCCTGCTCGTACCCCTGTGGATCCTCCATGCAGAACCTGCTCAGGTGCCGGAACACAGATTGTGGCTCCAGAGGGGTTAACACTGAGCCAAAACTAGTAAGTCCAGCTGGATTCATGCTGCTTGTTCCCATGCATATTCCCCTTTGCTTCCTCATGGATCCCACTGAAGAGCAGAAGGGGTGCACATCAAGCACCCTCTACGTTGCTCAGTTCATCCCCTGTTTGGGTTTTTGTGACCCATTTTGTGTGTTGGGAAGGACACAGTCCGTTCAGTGCGTTGTCTGGAGAGCGGTGTAAGGAACAGCAACGCCTGCGAGAGAAGGGAAAGCAAAGCTGAAGGATGATTTTTCATTATAGGACTTTTTGCATCTGCAGTGTGGGAAAGGAAGAAATGGTGGTGGCAGCCCTGAGGTGGGAAACTTGGAGGAGCTCCTGGACCGAGGGAGCAGTGCTAGTTTTTTCATATGGAGCGCAGTGACAAAAAAAATTTGGAACTGCTTTCATAGGGCAGGAACAGTGCTTTCCTTTCCGTCTGGAAAACACCCAGCACATTTTGCATGCTATTGGGAATATAAAAGAAAAGCCGCAGGCAAAAGAATGGAGAAGAACTCCTTGGCTTCTGTGAGCTTAGTATGTGAGCAGTACAAGCAGATGTGATAAGTGCCGTTTGAATTTTGGGGGATCTGAATGGTTTGCTGAGCTGAATGCACAGCAGATTGTTTGGATGCTATACTATAAAATGTATTTCAGCTCTTCTCATCTGGCGGTATGGGGGTATATACATCTCCTGGCATGCAAATAGAGAAGGTTGGAGTGTGCTGTGCATTGCTGTGACACACATTGTAAGAAATGGTTGATATATCCATTACCTGCTTGTATGGAAGAAGGTGAAGCGGCCTCAGCAAGCCTGAGATTGCTGGAGTCTCTAGTAGAAATGTTACTCTATTGCAACGCTGAGTGAGTTTTTGAATCTGCGCTGCTCCTTGCTTGTCTCCTTGGCTTACACTGTCCTCTGTTTTTTTGACAGGGTCTCTGGACCGCAGTGATGAGGAAACCTCGGAGGAGGTCCCGGCAGAACTTGGAGGGGAGACGTTCTCCCTCACCCTACACCCTCAAGTGCTCACCGACTCGGGAGACACTGACGTACGCTCAGGCCCAGCGGATCGTGGAGGTAGACATCGATGGGCGTCTTCATCGCATCAGCATCTACGATCCCTTAAAAATCATCACAGAGGATGAGCTGACAGCCCAGGACATCACAGAGTGCAACAGCAACAAGGAAAACAGCGAGCAGCCCCTTTTCCCTTCCAAATCTAAGAAAACACCTTCCAAAGGCAAGAAGAAGGAGTCCTGCTCCAAACATGCACCAGGGACATCTTTACACTTACCCCAGCCCAACTTCCGTGTGGTGGACTCTTTCAGTCAGCCACATGCTCCTCCTCTCCCCGCTGCCTACTACCGGTACATTGAAAAGCCTCCCGAGGACCTTGATGTAGAGGTGGAGTATGACATGGATGAGGAGGATCTGGCCTGGCTGGAAATAGTCAACGAGAAGAGAAGGGATGATGGTTATGGGACAGTTAGTGCTGACACTTTTGAGCTGCTGGTGGACCGGTTGGAAAAGGAGTCGTACCTCGAGAGCCGGAACAACGGGGCTCAGCAGTCTGTCATCGATGAGGATGCCTTCTGCTGCGTCTGCATGGATGATGAGTGTCACAACAGCAACGTCATCCTGTTCTGTGATATCTGCAATCTGGCTGTGCACCAGGAGTGTTACGGCGTGCCCTATATCCCTGAGGGGCAGTGGCTTTGCCGCTGCTGCTTACAGTCCCCTTCTCGTCCTGTGGATTGTGTCCTTTGCCCGAACAAAGGTGGAGCCTTCAAGCAGACCAGCGATGGCCGCTGGGCTCATGTGGTTTGTGCCATCTGGATCCCAGAGGTCTGCTTTGCAAACACGGTGTTCCTGGAGCCCATTGAAGGGATAAATAACATCCCCCCGGCTCGGTGGAAGCTCACATGCTATATCTGCAAGCAGAAGGGCATGGGAGCTGCTATCCAATGCCACAAGGTGAACTGTTATGCTGCCTTCCATGTCACCTGTGCCCAGCGGGCTGGCCTCTTCATGAAGATCGAACCCATGAGGGAGACCAGCATCAATGGCACAACGTTCACCGTGCGCAAGACTGCCTATTGTGAGAGTCATTCCCCACCTGGAACCGTGAAAAAAGGGTCTCCAGCTGCTAGTGGTGAGGGACAGGAGGACACTGTGAAAGAGGAGGGGGAGGACAAAGCCAATTGCAGCCCTCCCAAAGGGTCTCTGAAAAAGAACCAAGTGAAATTGAAGCAGAAGATCAAAAAGGAGCCTGGTGCTGTGACCAATGGGCGCTCGTCTATGCCTATGGTGACAGTCGCACAAATCCCCTCTTACAGGTGAGTGTTGCAGGTGGATGGAAAGGAGCTGGACAGCTGGAGGGTCTGCTTTGGGGACTTGGTCCCTCTCGTTATTGACCTTGGAAGCGCTGTGTCCAGTCAAGACCTAGCAATAACCATGTCTGAAGCATGCTCTGCAGACCCATCCCTGACCAGTGTTCTTCCACATGAGTTGCACTGGTACACTGGTTTTCATACTTTGCCAAGCAGTCATCCCAAACTGTTGCATAGTGCAGAATCCACAGTAGTCCCTAATGGCAAACACCCATCTACCATCCAAATTGACACAGATGGCTGTGAAGGTGTTTTTAAAATACTTCAGGCATTACAAGTTGGCAGGAAGGTAGGGGTTGTCCTGCTTTTTTTTTTTTTCATTTTTTAATCTCATTTCCTAGTTTCTTAATTCCTCCTTTTATTACAGAGTGTCTCAAACTTGTCAGTGTTGCAAGCTGCTTTGAATTTAGCTGTGTTGGTCTTTTTTCTCCCATCTCTCTCTCGTGCAGAACTAGGTAGTGCTGAATTTTCCTTTGGTGCCTGAGGAAGTGTGGTGATGTGTCACCAGTATTGGAACAGATAAGCTTTGGAAAGCTGCTGATAAGGCACCATATATAATCTGACTAATGGTTTGAAAAAGTTAAAATAGGTGATACGTTATTCTTGGACTCCTGTCAAGTTAGTTTCCCAGACTTATATATTGTGTAAAGTAGACACATACATCTTTGCAGTGGGGAGATCCCAGATTATACCAGTTGCATGTGTAGTTTGAAGCATGCATTGACACAACACTGCAAAGCTTCGCTTGGAAACCTGATGGTATCACCAGGGTATGCAGAGTCACGATTGCTTTGCAGTTGGCTCTGTGATGCTTCTTTGCTTCCTGCAGGCTGAACAAAATCTGCCACGGCCTTTCCCTCCAGAGGAAGAACCAGTTCATGAGGAGGCTCCACAACTACTGGCTGCTGAAGCGACAGGCGAGGAACGGGGTGCCCCTGATCCGGCGCCTGCACTCACATCTCCAGTCTCAGAGGAACGCGGAGCAGGTACTGGTACTCGGCTGAACCCATGTGGGAGGACGGAGAGCATGCAGCCTGGGGGAGATGTGCTTGATGCATAGCTGGGAAGGGGAATGAGGGTGAAACGATCAGAGCGCAACCTCATTTCAGTCCCTTTTGGTCTCCTGTTGGTATGCTCATGTCTGAAGAGCTGAGTTAGTGTATCAGTGGGCTGTCTACCGTGCCAATAGGGTTGGTGTTGATGAGCCAGCAGGTAAGAGTTTTTCCTCTGAGTCAGGAGACCCAGGATCGTGCAAGGGTGTGATGGGCCCTTGGTGGACGGATTTCCTAGATGAATCATAAACTCACGTTCCTCACGAGTGATTAAAGATCCCCTTCTCAAGAAAATGGGTGTTAGCTCCAGAGTCCTGGCTAAACTCCAGTTTGGGTGATTGTTCCTGCTGCTTGAATTTCCAACCCTCCCATGCACATTTGTATGGACGTTTAGACATAATCATCAGCTCTGGCCTCCTTTGCTTCCTCCTCTGAGCTGGCGTTCAGAGTCACTCAATCTCGTTGCTATTAAATAGCACGGTGTTTGACATGAGAAGTAGTTGGTGAAGTAATGAAGCAGTTGGACTCTACCCTCTTACATAGCCTGTCAGTAGGTATTGTGCATATTGTGCACGTATATTTTTACTGTAGTTGGAGGAATTTATAGACTTTTGGTTTGCATGAAGACTGCTCTGGGTGATTAATTGAAAAAAAATTTCCCACTCATCAGACTGGAACTTGGGGAAGTGCAGCATTTCCTTGGTTTATTAAGTTGGCAATTTACCGTAAGTAAGTTCTTAAAAATAAATGTCCTGTAAATATAAACCATCAAGATCTTGTGAAGCAATTGTCCTCTCTTGACAATCATGCGAAGGTGTATGCACTTCAGCTATGTCCTCAAAACCACTAAAAAAGCTACAGATTTAGGAGAGGAAGGATGATTGCATTGCAAAGCCACTGAACTGTGTCTTGGAAGGTGTGAGCTCATCCCTCAGTGTTGGCTGTTCCTTTGTGTTTTGGTGAATCTCTTTCTGTGGCTCTATTTCTTATTGGTTACAAAGATAATAATACCTCTTTTCTCCCATGCTTTTGCTCGCCTTACCTTTATACTGTAAATGCTTTGCGCTGCCTTTTCGATGCACAGCAGCCAACAGAAAGAATTTCCAGCCTCTGTAATGAACTTGTGTATAAAAGCAGGGAGGGTGTACGTGAGCATGCACTGAAATGTGTTCCGAGGGTGTAGCTACAGTATGATTTAGGCCTAACTTTACAGGTAATATAAAATCCAGAAAAGCTGATGTTGTGTTTGTTAGCTAAATGCTGTAGGAAGGAGAGGACGTAGTCTGAACAAGAGACAAGTAGACAGGAGAAAGACTGTGAGAGTGATTCACAGGGGATACCTAGAAAGAGGAGGACACGCAGGAAGCCAGCCATGTTTTTCATCTCACCCCACTGTGCTGCCTTACAGAAGGAGCAGGATGAGAAGACCAGTGCTGTGAAGGAAGAGCTGAAGTACTGGCAAAAGCTGCGGCATGACTTGGAGCGGGCACGGCTGCTCATCGAGCTGATCCGTAAGAGGGAAAAACTCAAACGGGAGCAGGTAGGTTAGTTTAGGCTGTCAGGTTGCTGCACTTTGCTTCAGTCCCATGCAAGCACTGAGGCAGAGGAGGAACACGGGGAGTTTTTCTTGAGCCTTTTCCTAGAGCCTGACTATTAGATGTGCAGAGCAGCCATCTCTCCCTATGTCAGTCACAGGCCTGCGCTGCTCAGCCTCTGCCCTTAGAGCTGGTGCTGGACTGCAGAGTGCTGGGACAGTGTGTTTGCATAACTAACGGTGGATTTGCTTCCTGATCTACAGCACCCCTTCTGTTTCTGGGCATGGACCAGGTATTTTGCAGAGTAAAAGTTTGATCTCCTTTAATATTTATTTCGGGAGTTTGATAACACCTGCTCCAGAGAAGAGGTCTAAATCACAACTCTGCTCTGCATTTTGAAAGCTAAAAATTCCTGTGTTTTACCCTCTAAGTACATTTTTGAGAAGACGCAGTTTTAAGGTGGAGACCGTTTACTGATTTCCACTTTAATCTGTGTGCAGTTCTCCAAAGTTGCACCATTACTTCCCGGGCTTGCCAGCTTTGCCTGTTGAGGGTCTTCGCTTGCCGTACCTGGTTGTACGGTGCAGCCGCAACTCTGGCAAGGACAGCTTCGTGAAAGACTGGCCCTGCGCAGGGTCTGCACGCTCGGCCTCAGGTGTTGCCTGGGTGCTCTCCCTGCTGCTCAGCACTCGGGCTGTCTGCAGAGCCAGGCAGAGGGAAAGCAGCATCCTCTGTGATCACAGCCCCTCTGCAAGCTTTTTTTTTTTTTTGTGGCCAGAAACTGCCCACAGCTTTTCTGGAGTCTTTTCGATGCCAGTGCTGGTTTATTTGCTACGTTGTCCCTGACTTACAGCAGTGGCTCAGTCCTGGATGTTGTGTGGACATATTTTAGGTAGGAGGATCAAAAAAAAAAAACCAAACCAGAAAAAAACCTCCACTCTTGGGCTTTGTTTGCTTTTGATATCTTGATATATCTATATCACAGTTGGCTAAATCCATAAAAGCTTGTTGAAACTACAGTATGCCTTATAAAAGGTAAGACATCACAGAAATGTGTATCTAGTTGGAGCTCTGTCCCAGCCCAGCTTTTAGGTGAGTGGAAGAGGATGCTCCGGAGTCCTGAGTCTTTGTTCAGCTTCTTTCCTGTTTTGGAGGAAGAGTGTGGTCTTTATATCCATCTTTGTTCATTCTCTTATTGGTGCTGTCTTGTTGCTGAGCTTATCAAATCCAGTTTGCGTTGTGTAAACACACTTGCTTTCCTTTGCTGCTGAAGTGGTTGATTTAACAACATAGTGAGGGATTATGAGATCAAAGAAATTAAAACGTTAAAGGAGAAAGGAATATTTCTGTCCTGTTCCAGTCTCCTTTGTATTCAAGTTTCAGTGTAAGAGATCAAACTGGTGCTACAACTTGTTTGCTCGAAAACAGACAGTATTAGACACTTCATAAAGGATGTAAGAAACTGTATTAGGAATTTGCAAACATCTAACCACTGTTGTTGTTTGGCTTCTGCCTTGAAGTGTGAGAGCTTATATCTTAAACTTTGTTTATGCTCTCTAGTCTAATTATGGATTATGTTGTTCATGTAAATGCCTACATACTTTTAACTTTTGTATCATGTTGCTAATTGGCATCATAATACCTTGAGGCAGGGAGTTCTACAGGATAATTTACCAGGCATGAAAAGCTTCTTCCTGTTTTCATTTTTAGTTGTATTATCTTTTAATTTTATGGGGGTTTCTCTTGTTTTAGCTTTATGAGATTAGATAAACAGGAGTTCCCCATACAAAAGGAATGGACTGGGCAGTTAGACTGTGGAAAGTGCTGTCTGCTAATGTGCATCCTGCACATGGAGAGCACAAGGTGTTTGCCAGAAATTCTTCAGCAATGAGTCTACCAGGCTATTGGTATGATGACCTGAGGTTTCCACCACTGAGTAGAGCTGGGGTGATGATTCAGGCGAAATCAGGGAGACACCACTCGCATCCCCTGTCCTCGAGAACTCTGCTCACAGCTGTTTTCTTGTTCCCAGGTCAAGTGTCAGCAGGCTGCAATGGAGCTACAGCTGACCCCTTTCAATGTACTTCTACGCACAACTCTGGACCTGCTGCAGGAGAAGGATGCTGCCCAGATCTTTGCAGAGCCTGTTAACCTAAATGAGGCAAGTCTCTTTCCTAGAGGCGTCTAACGGGTTGTAGATGAGGTATTGCTGGGCAGAAGCTCACGTGCTGTCATAACCCTGGAAGCACAAACCACCTTGTCCCAAGCTGCTGGTGGACTAAAGAATATCTCAAAGAGGACTCACAATGTGGGTATCCTTCCAGGCCAAAAAAAAAAAAAGGTATTGTTTTCTGGAAGCTTCAGCACGTCTCAGACAAGCAATGTTTTGCAGAGCCAGGATGTGTCTGCCTTGATTGGGTGACACAGAAATGAACTGCTGGCGCTGTCCCTTGCCAATGGAAAGGGCGTTAAGAGTGCTTATGATGGATGCGCTCTAGTTGGCTAGTAAATGGTTTTTGTAATTGTACAGGTTTTATATGTTTAGGTTCCAGATTACCTGGAATTCATTTCCAACCCAATGGATTTTTCCACCATGAGGCGGAAGCTGGAGTCCCACCTGTACCGAACATTGGATGAGTTTGAGGAAGACTTTAACCTTATAGTTACCAACTGCATGAGGTATAATGCTAAAGACACGATTTTCCACCGAGCAGCTGTCCGGCTCAGAGACCTTGGAGGAGCGATATTGCGTCATGCACGGCGGCAGGCTGAAAACATCGGCTTTGACACTGATGTGGGGATTCACCTGCCCGAGTCACCCAAAACCGAGGACTTTTACCGCTTTTCTTGGGAGGATGGTGAGTGTGTTCTTTGTTTGGAGCATGTCACTCAGCCTGTGTGAGAATCATAGCTGTCATTCAGCATACAAGAATTTTCCTATCCATCTATTTACCTAAGCATATATCTAACTCCTTTAGAGCGTCAAGAAGCAGGATTTCAGGTGAGCTGAGCACTTGGAGCTAGGTGCAGCTTCACTCCAGCTCTCCAGGGCACTTCTGCCTGAGAAGAGCATGGATCTAGGATATTTTGCTCTGAGGAAAGCTCATACATTTCATTGTAAATTGGCAAGGTACAGAGCAACTGGGTTAGATGGAGCACTGAGGGCTGGGAGAGGGTGATGTCGAGTTAAGGTACTACGACCCAAGCAGTACTTCTAGCTGAGTTTTTCCATTCACAACATGACCACATCCATTCCCATAGCTGTCTTGAGATGCAGCTCCAAAGCACTGGCTGAATAACTTAGCTAAACTTAGTACAGAATACTGCTGCCATCCAGCATGCAAAGCTCGCAGTCGGCCGTCTGATTCCTAAATGTTGCAGCCCTCTTGGACACAGACAGACAGTCTGTTACAAAATTTGTGTTGGTGTATGATAGCAGAGCCCTCAGCTGTCTGCCTTGCTCCAGCGGATACCAGCCCTTCAGCAGAGCCAAAACATGTTGTGTTTTGGCCAGTCCTGTTTGTGGTCTGATTTTGTCGTTTAATCTGGCAATGAAATAGGTTTGTGCCAAGGACCTGGACTGTGCAGTGTCTTGTGTGGGTGGAGACACGTATCCTTTCACTGTTGCCCCTGGGACAGTAACGGGAGCTGGAGGGCAGAGCAAGTTAAATCAGCTGCTCCTTCCCAAAGGAAGGCAGTCTGAGCTCCAAGGTTAACAGTTCCTAAATCCATGAACTAAAGTGATTGGTTCATGAATAGCAGCAATGGGAATGAGGTATGGCAGTGGTCCCAAATGCAGGAGTGGATTTCCTTTCTTCAAGAAGCTGTGCTCCTTCCTTTCACTGTTACACTCTCTTTTGATGCAGTGGATAACATCCTCCTCCCAGAGAACCGGGCTCATCTCTCCTTGGAGGCCCAGCTGAAGGAGCTGCTGGAGAAGCTAGACATGGTGAGCACCATGCGATCCAGCGGTGCCCGGACACGACGCATCCGGCTCCTGAGACGGGAGATCAACTCCATTCGGCAGAAACTGGCCCAGCAGCAGAACAAAACCATGCCCAACGGGGAGCCTGTGCCGTGGGAAGAGGGGCTGGATAAAGCATCGAGGGAAGGGGATGAGGAAGGGGATAAAGGTGAGAGGTTGCAGCGGGATTTTAGCTCCAACTTTCCTAGTGCATGTCAGCAGTCAAGACTTGCTGTTTCTCCTGTCTGTGGCCCCATTGAAGGATGGGAATGGCTGTTGTTAGTTTTGGGAATAACTCTTTCTAAAATGTTCAAGCAGATTCTTTATTCCTTTAGCAGATGATGCCAAGCCCCCGCACCCTCCAACCCTGGAGCCCACAGGACCTGCGCCCTCTCTCTCAGAGCTGGACTCTCTGCAGGACCCTCCAATGCTCAAACCCATCAGTGAAAGCAAGTCCTTGAATCAGCTGCAGAAGAGGGTGATGCCGGACAGGGAGCTCTTTGACAAGAAGGCTCTGCAGCGGGAGAGCCAAGCCTTCCAGCGCCTGCTCAGCGACAACGGCCTGAACGGACTGGCCTTGCCGCCTGCAGACACCCCAGCCAGCCCCCCGTTCAGTGGTGTGGGCCGACGGACATCTGTCCTTTTTAAAAAAGCTAAGAACGGGGTGAAGCTGCAAAGAGGCCTGGACTGCTCCCTGGAGAATGGGGAGGACCATGGGCAGAGTGGGCAGCTTTCACCCTCGCGCCCTGATGGGGAACGACAAACTCGGAAGCGGCCGCAGAGCAGGACCGGCAGCGAGAGCGATGGAGAGAAGTCGCCCAGGCAGGCAGGACAGAGAGGTAATTCCTCGGGATTTCTCTTCCTTCTGTACCCTTGAAAACTGTGAGATGGGGCTGAGGGAGTGGGAATCCTGGGGCCGAGTAAAGACGTCTGCATCCAGACTACTCACCTGAAACTCACCTTATGCTTGGGGGAAACATAGTTCCCAGACGTGCCTGACGAAAGCTTCAACTTGTCCACAAATTTCTAAAATAAGGCAGACAGGACATGTCCATAATGAGCTGCACCTCTCTTCTCCACTGACTCTACAGGGAGTTTGTGGTAGCTAAATTTAGCTCTAGACACCTGTATTGTAGACATTTAAAGGTACCAAGATGAATCCCAGGGAGGTCACAAGTTACTCTTCCCATTGCCAGTCCTCAGGACTGCTGTAAGAGAGAGTTTGCCATTTTTTGTAGGGTTTGCCTACCAACCTTGTTGGTTACATGCCCAGCTGCTTGCAAAGCTGTTGAATGGCCTGGCTGGAGACTCCGGGCTCTC